TTTTTCGATGAATCTGTTGAACTGCATCACAATCATTACAAATACTGCAGAAGACCTATTAAATCCCGCATGGACCCAAGAATCTCACAGAAATCAGTCAAGTTTGGTAAGGAAAAATCATGGTTTGGGGTTACATTCAGTATGAGGGTGTGTGAGAGATCTGCAGTGGATGGTAATATCAACAACCTGAGGTATGAAGACATTTGTGCTGCCCATTACATTACAATCCACAGGAGAGGGCAAACAAAGGCTGAATACATGGCAAGAGCGGTCGTGTGGAATAAAACTTGCGGGAGCGGGACTAAAAATTTTGACCCGTGCAGATCTCTACCTCCAAGCTTCCTCCAAGTCATACACAATAGCTTCCTAACCTCCAAGTCATACACAATATTAACTCTTTTTCCACTGGATCGTGACTTTTTATTTTCTATACTGTACATTATTTCAGTTAAGTGACAGGACTTTTCTCTAAAAGTCAGACCTTACTGCCCTAATTAAATAATAAAAAATCAAGGCATGATCATATTTTATTTTGGTAAAATAAGCATAATCTTGAGGTCTTTGCCTTTCATATAAGCCACTTCTGATACCAGATGATCAACTAGAAGTCAAGTTATTATTTGTTGTTCCTAAACCTTGGATAGGGGATAAGACTTTGTCAGGTAGTGTATAGTTTCCCCACTTACTGTATAACGACACTGTGGGGAATAATGATATTATGGTGTGACATTCAACTCGTAAATACCTAACTTGTCTTCAACACACAAATAGAAAGTGATCTTACAGATGAACTGAGGATTTTGAATTAATGGATGAGCAGGTCAACCTTTTTTGAATTGTGCAATGCAATACAGCCTTTTATGGCATCAAGCCCAAAGGAGCCATTTTCTACCAATAAATACACAAAATATCATAAAAAAATTGACCATGTGACATGTTACTTTCAGTATTACACAAGAACAAAAACTTCTTTGCAATATATTGTTACTTGCTAAATTTTTTACCAATGCGCAACTTAAGTTTGTATAATTTGAAGGGTGATGACAATGTAGCTATTGTCTTTTACTAATAAACATTTTCTCCTTTACACCAATTACTGACATGGCAAAGAGAGAGTTTAAAGATCATTATGATCTCACATTTTAAACACTCTGATGTCATTTTTGTAGAGTATATTTCAGGTCTATTGGTTTTACCACATCAATGTAATATAGTAGCCACTAGTAGGTGTTGTTTCCCTTGTATTTCAGAGACTAATATGCTCTAGAATTAAGCTATGATGCTAACAAACTATGTTGGTGACTATGCTGGACACTAATGGCTCAACCTTCAATTGTGGTCAATAGTCTTTATAATCTAACGTGAGGAGGGATGTTTCTGAAAGTGCATTCTGGGAATGTACGGATCCATTACAATCAACGCAACACAATCAATCGAGGGACAGTCAATTTAGCACCGTCCCCCTGGAGGACAATACGTTAGTGCTGAGGACTAGAAGTGTTAAGGCATGCAACTATACATTCACTCAAGTCTCTGTGCATGTTTTTAAGGAATTGTGTAGTTTATGTAGTTTATTAAAATCAAATGTATGTCCTACAATTGAATTGAATGAGAAAAATTTGTAATGAAGAAAAAGTAAGAATATCTGATTGGCCATTTTTAGTAATGGAATATAGAGGCCATCACAAAAAATGCATTAGCAATTTCTGTTTTCTTATAAATTCTCAAATCAGTGACTACAGCGCTACATGAGAGTGTACTGCAACTTTATGTGACTTCACATAACCGTACGACAACTGACGTTACATATATTTCAATGCATCTCACGTCAACAATCTCTGACTGAGAGCAGTCCTGACTTTGTAAACATACAGATCCATAAATACAAAGTAACGTTCTAAATAATTATATTCAGGATCTGGTGAAATTTCATTCAGTAAATATATATATATACACTATCTATTCTTAGATGCGATACTAATATTCTGTTGCAGATTTTAAAATGCCGTCCCACTCAATCCCAACCCCTTCAAAAAAACGAGAGTAGATTTTTCTACCCTTATAAGTTTTCTAAAGGTCCTGTTCCAACCCTAATGTGCAAATAGTCCTAAATAATTGTATTTGAGACATGCAGTTTTAAAGATATACAGCAGGGGTGTCAAACTCAGTCCCTGGAGGGCCACTGCCCTGCACGATTTAGTTCCAACCCTGCTTCAACACACTTACAAGCTTGAAGGACTGAATTAGTTTGGTCAGGTGTGTTTAATTAGGGTTGTAACCAATCTGTGCAGAGTTGTGGCACTCTAGGAACTGAGTTTGACACCTGTGATATACAGGTACGTATTAAGGCCAGTTTGAATTGTCCTACACTGGATAAACCTTAGCCCAAGCTGCTACAGGTAACATCCAAGTCTAGAGTCATGATAATGAAAAAGGAGAGAAACTTTCTTTCATTTGGTCATTACAATCCTGGTTGGTCTGTGCTAATATAATCACCAATAAGGTCATTAGATTAGCAAAGGGACACCAAAAACAATCTAAGACTTTAAGTAGGCCACAAAAACTGTCACCCACAGCCTTGGAGAGAAAAGAGTGGCAAGAAATTGAGGACAGAGGAAGATTACTCTCTTGCTAGATCCACTACTTTATAGTAACAACAGTCTTCTTGGGCAGTTCAATCAGAGGGCAATTTTGGTAATGCTAGTTTGCAGTACAACTTTTTCGCTTTAACAGGGATAACTGTTCACCATCTTTAAAAAAAAATTGTGATGCACAATACATCAGCAACCATATCGGTATCGGCAGAAAAATGCTGATTTCTAAAGTTTAAGAAAATACATTATCGGCTTATAAACTGTGGACTTTTTTGCCAGTTGATACACTTCATAAGTGTGCTGTTGCCTATGAGGGTTTTGATTGGTGACGTTAAGCAAGTAGCAGTTGCAAAGAGGGAAGACAAGATATCGGCAGTGTGGGGGGTTTTCTTAGCCATTGAACAAAAAAAGAGGACTATTACAGTTATTGAGCTTCAGATATAAAGAGTTACCATTATTGATTTTGGCCAAAATTTTATATCTGTTCTTAAATATGAAAATCAAAAACAATTACAAAGATGTAAATTTGCCATCAGCTGCTTTTTACATCAGGTTAGTCTAGCTAATGTTCATGCAGGTTGTAAACAAAACATCAGAATGCTTTTCCTGATGAGGTTATTGGCTAAAACTAAAAGGTGGTTTTTCTTATCTTTAAAATGCGATTGTTGTTCGTGTTGGTCTCTGACAGGGTCAAATTAATAAATGATTGTGGATATCATCAATCTATATATCAATTATTAGCTTCAAAACATGAAGAGTTGCCAGTTCTTGGTATCACAAATGTTCATTTGGCTTCTGCAACTTTATAAACTAAGTTAGTCTCGCTAATGCCGAGTTCAGACTGCATGACGCCGACAGGTTTTAAGAAATTGCAGACAAATGCCTGAAATCACAGGCAAATCGGTGCTCGTCCACGTGACAATCACAGTGGAAACTATCAAAGACGCGATCTGAGAGAATCGCTGATAAGTTGGAGACGCCCGTGAGATATTTGGCGTGGTAAATATCTGGGCCTGTCGGCGATTCAAATCATGCTGTGTGAAATGTTTTCTGATTGAAAATAACATCAGTGATCACCTACAGCCAATGAGAGAGCAGCATCCACTAGTATGAGTACCTGTAGGCCAGCAGGAGGTTGCGGGAAAAGTGCTCATTATTAGTTTATTTGCACCCAAGAAATGGAGGAAAACTAGTGGAAATATGGCAGGAGCACCCATGTCTGTTTGACGTGTCGTCTAAGCAATACCACAACTGGGTCGAAAAGTAAAAAAAGTTGAGGAGAAATTGCTAATTCTCTTCAAAAGCCAAGTAAGCAAAAAAGGTACATTTTCTACCCTCTTTTTCCATTATGTAGTTAATAATTAAAGATATGACTTTGCAATGTTTCCGTGTTACTTCATGCATGTGTTTGGTTGTTAGACGTAGTTTGGACAAAGTTGTCTGCGATTCTTCCTATTTTGAAGTCTTGCAGTGTGAAACCCCCCTTTCACCGATCCATCCTACAGTGTAAATGTAGCAGTGACAGAACGCTACCCCAGAGAGTCATGCAGTGTGAAAGCATGACTACTTTGAAAATCATGCAGTCTGAACTCGGCATAATGTGCATGCAAGTTCTAGGCAAAACCTATCAAAATGTTTTTGCCATTAAAAGTGTCTCTAAATGAAAGGCGGGATTTACTGTCCTCCCATGCCATATCTTATGAAGTGTTCTTTTTTTCTTATATTATCTTTCGTAAATAGTAAAATATATAATCTACCTTTCTGCAACTCTCAGTGCATCACATATGACTATCCCAAAAGGGACACCTAACTTGGTACATAGAAAAACCTTCTATAGAAAAATCTGGACACCGATCTACTGTTGCGTGATAAAATAACTCCAATTTTTAGTCCTTCTCATTTCCCAGAAAAAGAAACTGATGACACTGACCTAATTAGGTTCTTTCTTTATGCGGCAGTGCGGAAATGCAGGAAGATGGACTGCTTCTCTTCATTCTGGAGATGTAATTCACCTCATGTGCAAACTCAGACTATAGTCACTCTACGAAAGTAGAGCGTAACCCTGAATTCCTATCTGACATGTACCGCATTTACGTGGTGCTTCTGCAAGCGGCAGTGTGTGCTACATCTGTGAATGTGACAGTGAACGTAATCATTCATATGTCAGTTGCCTGAATGATACACAAGTAAACATCAAGTGCTCCAATCAGGCAACACCACAAAAGAGGGCTTGAACCAAAACAAGGTGAATAATATTCACATTTACAAGCGGGCTAGCAAAAAAAATGATGCAACAAAATGCTACGTCTTTCGTCCCATGCTATAAAAGTGCTTTTCCTTTTCTTATAATGCCTTCTGTGCTCAGTAGGTTCAGGGAGAGCTTATGATTATAAAGTACTACTTGACTTGGGTGGGGTTAGGGTATTCAGAGGAAGCTCAATTATTATTTCAAAACGAACATGCATTTGATCTCAAAGGAGAAAAGCTGCTCTGTCTTTTGAAAGCACATGCCGTGCGCCACCAAAGACGATGACGACCACATGAGCTTAGAAAACGACAGGATCTTTTCATCAACCTTCATCCACTAACACTGCTTTTTCAGTTCCTCACCCCAATTCACAACTCAACCCCCTCCTGCAGCTGACCGGTCAGTAGTTGTCTCTCGGCCAGGCTCTCGAGCGCTGTCGGTTGTTACGTTGGTTGTGTCCGTCCTGCGAGTCTCGCTGCTGCAGGAGTCGGTCCTGTGACTCGTGTCCATTAGCACTGTGGATCCCACCCGGGTGGTTACGGTTAGGTGGGTAAACGTCACGGTAGGGGTTCGAGTGGCGATGGGGTTGGTAATCATCATCTTCCTCCTCTTCCTCTTCTTCCTCGTCCTCTGGGGGATGCAGGGAGCTAGAGCCTCCTCGGTGGAGGGAGCGAGAGTCACTGGCCTCGTCGGAGGGCATGAGGCTGTCCTGCTCTCCCTGCTCCTCCTCCTCCACTCCCCCTCCACCCCCGGCAGGCGACAGCTGCTGGTTCTGGGACAGAAAGAGAGAGATGAACACTCTAAACAATACTGAGGTCACATGCTTTCTTTTTCGGTTTTACTCCAAAGAAAAATGACTCATCTACTGTAATAGATCCTGTGTACATGTAAAGATTATACAAATGTATAGGGTTAAGTGTGAAGGTAAGAAGTTTTCAAAGGTAAGTCTAAGGAATTTTAAAGAGACTGGAAAATGTGGCTTAGCTTATACTACACAAAATTTGTGACTTTTATCTAGTCTTCTGGACTATACACCCGATCATACAGAATGTGCTTTTTAGGTCTGAAAACAAAAGGTTAGCTTTAGAAGATCAGTGTACTTTTCTAGGCAATCTCCAAATCTTCAAGTCTTGTGCACAAAACAAATGTCATTGGGTGCTTTGACTTTTTTCAGTTTCAGGCACGTAAGAGTACTCTTGCAAAAATGATAATTCTGCATGATCAGGTCCTAACTGTCCAAACTGCTATAATCTGTGAATTTGATTTCCGTCTTGCGAGTCAAATGTATTTTTTGCTGTTCAGACTAAGTATATTAAAGACAGTAAAAAGCCTATAGGCACTAGGTCTAAGATCAAACTGTTACATTATAGATTGCTACGCATTTTCCTCTGGAGCAAAATGATTTAGGTTAGTTTCAGAAACAAGGAGGTTGCATTCAAAAGGAAGTTAGAAGGAAGTTGTCACATTCACAAAGCATCAGTCTGTGCGGTGAGATACAGCCTTTTTTTCCAAAGTCATAAATTTAACATTTCTTTATAACACAGGAAAGCAGGCAGCTGTATCTGCTTTGTGAACTCATCATGGAGGCAGAACCTCCTTATGGAGGTTCTATAGTGATATCAATCAGCAAGGTGCAAAAACAGAGCAGCCCTAAATGACATCTTGCCCTCAAAACAGCAAATTAATTGAAAAGTGTAGGGAGGTAAGTGCATAGTACAACATAAAAATTGGTCTTGTCAAATGGAACGTTTGCACTGCCATATGTACATTTGCACCATTTGACAGATAACATTTAAAAAAGAGTGAAATGGACAGCTAAAAAGTGCCAAAAAGCATGTGGCTACTACCCTGAATATAATCCAGTTCTAACATTCAATGCATAGAATCTTAAAAAGAAGCTTTAAATAGAAATGCCTACACCTTGAAATGTGCTATCTATACTCTATAACTACAGGAAAAGATATTGCCTACACCTGTGCAAACACGTTTAAAATGCTGCATTCTCAAATACTAGAAACATTTCTCAAAACACTGCCGACACTTTGGCACATTTACTTTACAAACATTCGCCACTTTACAGACTGTTTACACCAGGGGTGTCCAAACTCAGTCCTGGAGGGCTGGTGTCCTTCAAAGTTTAGTTCCAACCCCAATTAGACACACCTGGGCTAGCTAATCAAGCTCTTAAGTTGTGGTCACACTGGGCTTTTCCTCCTATAGACTTCCATTCATACACACGCAAATGCGTCAGACCGGAAATGCAGGGTCATGCGTCAAGTTTCGCAGGTTGCTGCGGTGCAAAGTTCAAGCTTGGTGAACTCGGACCTGTGAAATCGCATCACTTGACTGCATGAGACCAATCGAGGATCAAAACATGACCTCTCTGGACAGAATTTAAAACAGAGCAATCGCTCGCTTTTTTAAATGTTTAATCATCTTGTTTAATCTTGCCCCTTTTCGCAGCACCGCACGACAGAATTTCGCACACACAAACTCTAGTGTGACCGCAGCTTTACTCTGCTTCCTAGAAACATCCTTGCTGGTGTGTTGAGGAAAGTTGGAGCTAAAATTTGCAGGACACTGGACCTCCAGGACCGTGTTTGGACACCCCTGGTCTACACCTTTAGGAACACTGCCTATACCTTAAGATAGATTTATACCTTAAGCCATTGCCCAAAGTGCTAAATTTAAATTTACAAACACTACCCACACCTTAACAAATACAGTTCGTAGCTAGGGAAAAGCTGCCTACCTTTAAAATTGTTGCCTACACCTTGAAACATGTAGCCTCTCAAACACTGCCTATACCTTTGGAAAAACTGGCTTCAACATCCACATGCTACTAGCTTCAACACACTTACCTGTAGGTTCCAAATAAACCTGAAGGACTTAAATACTTTGATCAGGTGTGTTTAATTAGGGCTAAAGCTAAACTGTGCAGAGCTGTAGCCCTCCAAGAGTTTGACACGTGTTCTAGTATGACAAGTTTAGGTACCCCTGGTTATTTACAACTTAAGAAACATTGTCTACACTTAACATGCAATGCCCAAAGATTTATGAACACTTCCAAACTTGAACATTGTAAAAATGTGGACAAAGTTCTCTACAAATAAAGAAACATTGTCTACACTAGGGGACAAAAATCTCAGGCCTGGAGGGCTACAAATTGCCTCAACACACCTGCCTGGAAGTTTCAAGTATACCTAGTAAGACTTTGATTAGGTTGTTCAGGTGTGTTTGATTAGGGTTGGACCTAAACTCTGCAGGACACTGGCACTCCAGAAACAAGTTTGGTGCACTTTTACAAAACTTGTCTACAGCACTGGTCTCAAACTCAACTCCTGGAAGGCCACAGTTCTGCACAGTTTTGCTCCAATCCTAATCACAGCTGATTTAACTAATCAAGGTGTTCAAGACTACTAGACCCTACTACAGGGGTTTCAAACTTAATTCCTGGAGGGCCGAAGCCCTGCACAGTTTAGTTCCAACCCTGCTCCAACACACTTACCTGTAGGTTTCAAACAAGCCTGAATGACTCAATTAGTTTTATCATGTGTGTTTAATTAGGGTTGGAACTAAACTGTGCAGAGCTGCGGCCCTTTTGGAACTGAGTTTGACACCTGTGCCCTACTAGATCAGTTGTGTTTGAATAGGGCAAAACTGTGCAGAGCTGCAGCCCTCCAGGAACAAGTTTAGTGCACCTTTACAAACATACCCTCCACTTTTACAAAAACTGTCTACAGCACAGGTCTCAAACTCACATCCTGGAAGGCCCCAGCTCTGCACAGATTTGCTCCAACCCTAAACACAGCTTATTCAACTAATCAAGATGTTCAAGACTACCAGACACCACTAGATCAGCTGTGTTTGATTGGAGCAAAACTGTGCAGAGCTGCAGCCCTCCAGGAATGGATGTTGTGCTGATGTCCTGCAGAGTTTAACTGCAAATAGCCTAAACACATGTATCTTTTTGTACATGGGTGTTAAACTGCAGCTCAGCAGAGTTTAGTCCCAACCCGGCTTAAACCCAATTGTCTCTAGGTTTCAAATAAAGCCACAGTCACACTGGTCTTTTGGCCTTATACACTTATAGATTTATAGACCCGAATTCATACGCATGTGAATGCGACCGACCGGAAAGTTAGGCATGTTCCTACGTTGCAAAGTTCAAGCTTGGTGAAATCTGACTTGCGAAATTGCATCAAATGACTTTTCTGTACAATTATTCAAAATATGGACCAATCTGCCTCTTTTTTAATGTCTAATCAACTTGTTTAATCCTGCCCTTTTCACAGCGCTGTTTGACAGAAATTTGCAAGCTGAAACTCTTGTGTGACTGCAGCAATAATCTGATGGACTCAATTAGTTTGATCAGGTGTGTTTTTATTAGGGTTAAAGCTAAACTGCGCAGAGCTGTAGCCCTTTAGGATCTGAGTTTTACATGTGTTCTATAATGACCAGCAAGTGCTTGTTTTAGGTTTGTCTAGTTGGGGTTGGATCTAAAGGACTAAGGGGTAAGGCCCTCAAGGACTAGGTTTGGGTTACAACTTTACAAAGACTGTCTATTTACACTTTTAGAAAAACTGCCTAGATCTTTACAATGCCTTAGAACTATTGCCTACATCTTGAGACATGTATTCGTCATCCTCTCAAACACTGCCTATACCTTTAAAAAAGCTGCCTGCACCAACATCTACGTCCTCACAAATGCTACACATTTGCAAAAGCTGTGTACAACTTTAGAAATGCAACTGAAAACTTTGGAAATGCTGCCTACACCTTTACACAGAGTGTCTGTACCTTAACAAACATTGCCTACACTTTAAGATGTAATGCCCACAGATTTATGAACACTGTCCACACCTTTACAAACAACTCTGGAAAAGCCGCATAAAACTCTAGAAACATTGCCTACATCTTTACATATGCTGTCTACAGCTTAAGAAAAGTTTCTAAATGCTAACTACACCTTTAGAAACATTGTCTACACCTCTACAAACACTGACTGCACACACTTTTGCAGATGCAAAAGTACCTACTGTCTGAACTGCTGCCTACACATTCTGACAAACACTACCTGTACATTTGGAAAAGCGGACTACACAATAAATGTGCTGTTTACACACTCGCAAATGCTAAATACATCTGTCTACACCTTTACAAAGAATGTCAACATTTTTATGAATGTTGCCTGCAACTTAAGATATACTTTCAGAAACAGCGGCTACACCACACTGACTCTTGAAAACCTTAGCATCTTTACAATATCTCAGCTTGAAAAAAAGCTGTCTAAAGGGCCATTCACATATCGCATTTAAAAGCACGAGCACAACACTTTATTCACCATTTTGAACGCACTTTGCGCTCATATTCCTTATGTCGTCAGTTGTTGCTAGGTGACCATAAACTGTTTTCTCAGATGATGACAAACTACCAAAACATTGCTGCTGCTCTGATACAAAATTTATTTATGGAGAAAATCAAAGGCACTGCAGTGTTCGGGTGCCCTGTGTTTGTCTGAAATCATTAGTCTACCGAAATGTGTATATTGCATACAAAGTATGAAGCTGATTGGTCAGTTCTAATCATGTGACTCGAAATGTGCTTGTGGCATTCTGAAAAGTTTAGATGTTTTCAACTGGGTGTTTGTGGAAAACATGATCGTTACACACCATTTGCGCATCACTCCCAAAATGCACATGCAAGCCGCGGTCTAAAAGATGCAATATGTGAACAGCACCTAAAGATGAAAAAAGCTGCCTAACTTCAGAACCATTGCAAACACCTTGAGACATTTGGCCTACAGCGCCCTCTCAAACATTGCTTACTGTATATCTTTTAAAACCTGACTACTTTTTACGATGTGCTGTGTAAACCCCATAATTTCTGACTACACCTTTAAAACACTGCCTACTCCCTTACAAATTTTAGTTTACCCTTAGACTTCCTGCCTTCATATTGATAAATGCTGCCTTCACATATAAAAACACTGCCTAAGTTTTAAAAACACTGCTTAAATCTTAAACAGCTTTATGGCCCGTTTCCACTGAGTGGTTCGGTGCAGTACGCTTTTGGCTTGTTTCCGCTAAGTGGTACAGTACGCTACGGTCTGGGTCTTTACGGGTCACCTTTATCAGGCTTGCATTTCCACTGCTAAAAGGGTACCAATGAAACTCTTTTAGTGGGTTTGGTGTATGACAGAAAGTTTCAGACGGCGTCATTTTCGATCAAGGAAATGTCAAAGTAAAGCTGTATGTATCTCACAACAGTGATGCTTTAAACACATAAATACTTCTGTATAAATATTACTAACTTTTCTATTAACATAATTTGATAATAACTGCATGTCAATGACAGTGTGCAATATCCTATTGTAACATCTACAATTCTATAAAATAAATAAATGCAACATATATGAACATGGGTGATGTGGTGGCACAGTAGGTAATGCTGTCGCCTCACAGCAAGAAGGTCGCTAGTTCAAGCCTCGGCCGGGTCAGTTGGCATTTCTGTGTGGAGTTTGCATGTTCTCCCCGTGTTCGCGTGGGTTTCCGACACAGTCCAAACACATGCGGTATAGGTGAATTGGGTCAAAATTTCCCACAGTGTATGTATGTGTGTGAATGAGTGTGGATGTTTCCCTGTGATGGGTTGCGACTGAAAGTGCATCCGCTGTGTAAAAACATATGCTGTATAAGTTGGCATTCCTTTAGCTGGGGCGACCTCAGATTAATAAAGGGTCTAAGCCAAAAAGTAAATGAATGTATGAAAACATACAGACCATCACAGTCTCTAATAAGTTACCACTTACAGAAAAACTACACACAGCATACATTAAGTCCTTATTTAGGTTAAAAAACAACACAAAATATAGCCCACAGTTAGTGCAAACCTCTCATCTGTGTCTTTAATCTTCAGCAGCACATGTAACCTCTTGTAAGAAAGTAACATCGTCCAAAAGGCGATGATAATAGTTAAACATGGCAGTTTGTTCATGTTTTAGGTTGCAGACGCATAATTTGCTGCTGTTTTTTCCAGCATCTCTTTTGTTTTTTTCGCATTTCACTCTCTTGTTTGTTCCCTTCTGACAGGATTAGATATCAAAGCACTTCAATGATCATGAGCAGCTATTTAATATGAGTTCAAAAAGTTTGTTATTTCAAATATAGATGAGATCGCGAGCTTTCGGGACAAAGTGAAACCGCTCACACTTTTAGACCGGCTCGTAAAACAACAACAGGGCACAGCAGATTTGAAAAAGATTGTTCTTTTTGGCTGTTCATCAAGATGACAACAAGGTTTGTTTGAGATCGGGTCGACCATGGCTCAATTATTATATGTATATGTATATAATATTACGGTGTAATGTCTCGGCTGTGTGTTTAAAACATGGCAGTTTCTTTGGTTTCATTCTGGCTTGGTGCGCGAGCGAATGATGTATCTCTGTAAACAAACAGCGTTCAGCTGCACCTCTAGCTCCGCCTTTTGGTACCCTTTTGCTTCTCAACACGCACATTTGCACGAAACAAAAATTCAGCAACTAAACAAAGTTATGCCAACTGTGCGCTAGTTTGTACACCGAGACCAATATAACCATAATAACAATAACAATAATACGATAACATCGATAACAATAATAACCACGCACATTGGACTAACTATGACTGAGGCAACTAATTAAGGCAAGCTCGATCAAGTTCTTATTTCCAATGGAGGGACGCACACGCAACCAATAAATGCATCATTAATATCCACAGATTTTTATATAATCAATCAAATTAGCTTTTAAAACGGTAACAAATATGTATTTAGGCCCAAACTACAAAACCAAATATAAAATAATTTTAATTTTAAACTAGTAGAAATAAATGAATGCAAATAATCGTGATAAACGTGAAACCATGATTATTTCTTAGATTGTAATCGTACAACCAAATTTATAATCGTTGCATCCCTATATGTGAATGACCCGTACAGCTTTACTTTGATATTTTATCGAGCGAGAATGATGTCGACTAAAAGTTTCTGTCGTACACCATGCCTATCAAAAGAGTACCATTGATACCCTTTCAGCAGTGGAAACGCAAGCCTGATAAAGATGACCCGTACCGACCCATACCATACTGTACCACTCAGTGAAAACGGGCCATTAGAAACACTACCAACAACATTAGATTTGTTGCGTAGACATTAAATATATTTGACCTACCTCTTTTCAAATGATGGCTACACCTGAAAAGAATAGTTCACCCAAAAATGAATATTCTATAATTTACTCATATTCCACTTGTTTCAAACTTGTTTGAGTTTTTTTTGTGTTTAACCTAAAAGTAAGACATGTTGGTAAGCAGCAGCCATTGACTTTTATAGTGTTCTTTGTTCCTACTATAGATGTCAATGGTTACTGGTTTTCAACATTCTTTAGAATATCTTGTTTTGTGTTCCTAAAAGTGTAAAACTGCTTAAGGATGAGGAAATCTTTTGTGAATTTTGTGAAAATCCAAAGAATTTTTTGGGTGAAATATAACCCTGAAAGACCTACAGCCTAAATCCTCAAATGAAGACTTTTCTTGAACAATCAAATTCATCTTATATCATTTTTCTTGTATAATTTCAGGTTCGCAGATGACATTGAAACATAAAAACTATGAATGGGCTCAACAACAACAGCATAACAAAATCATATATTTTCATATATGATTTTTAAAGTGCTTTTCCAATAGAGATACCAGATGTTATTTCCATTTGGAGGGGTTAAAGGAATTGGAGGATGTAAAGAAGTATCAGGATGGGGTCTTGATTTACAGTCTGAATGCGAAAGGCAGATTAATCATCCCAACCTACTCACCGCAGGTTTGCAAGTGCTCATTCAATTAATTCCTGTGTTTCAGAGAACTGCAAAGATGTCAGGCATGAATGAAACACAGAACAGACAGATTGAGACTTACAACATGTCAGCATTACAAGCATCTGTGGACCCAAGATAACTAAAAGGACAGAGATTGACAATATGGAGCACAGGGAAGGACAGAACAGACAAACATTTACTTTATGGCCACTTTCAGGTTGGGAATTTATTATTATTATTATTTTTTTCTTCTTCCATTTTTAGTTTTGTTGTTTGACATTAACGTTGTTCAATATAAAGTAGGTCTGACTAATTAGTGTTTCCATGAAATTATTACAAAAAGAACAGAGATATTTTAATATACTGTGCATGGAGCTCCAAAAGTCCCCAAAATACGAATATTTGCAAATTTAAGTTAAATAGTGCCTTTCTTCTATAAAACTAAAAATGATTTCATAAAATCCCATACATCTATGGTTTTACGGTCAGCGGTGTAATTTAAATACATTAGAAAGGATTTTGAATTAGGGGAATGCAGACATCACACACATACTATACCAGATTATTTCTCAAAGCTGAAATGCCATCCATATTCTAAAAGATAATGTTTAGCACAGTCTCTGGACTACTTTCCTGGCTGATCGATGAAGACACATACTGTACTACTTCTGGTTGCTTCTTGTCTAACTAGGTCAATGCATATGAGACTGCAAACCTTGTTCCTTTTAAAGAATGTAGTCATCCGCATTTTTAAATTAAGTATGGTCATGTATTTTGGTGGAAATTAGAATTTAATATACCAATAAGTTGCCTTAGATGTACTGTAATTACTAGGGTTGGGTATTGTTTGAATTTAGTAGTTTATTCAGATTTATATCTTTTTTTGCAATTCTTATAGCTTGCTGGCTTCCAAAATTTTCATTTGTTGGTTTTAAATATTAAATACAGATTATTCTGATTTTTGGATTAATGTTTAATACACTTAAACATGTATTAAAAAAAAAAACTTGTTGGCTGCAACTAAATAAAGAAATGTAAGATCATGTGTGGAATTATAAAATAACAATGTTTTACTGAAACCTGAGAGCAACAAATGGAATTTAAGGCACTTTTAGATTTACAGGATAGGCCTCACAGACATTTTTCATTTTCATTTTAGAATCTAAGTAGTATCCACTTCCTAACCTTATGCTGTTTTCACACCAGACGCATAAATAGATGCATGAACATTTTGAGTTTACTCGATTCATTCGAGCATCAAAATCAATTCACAATTCACAGATTCAAGTCATGGGCAGGCCTTCTGTATGCCCGCTGACTCTAGCTTTGTTGCTAAATGGCTGACATGGATTTTATTGAGAGAGTAACCGTGTTTATGTGCTTTATGAAGGCTGAAAAACAGCGTCAATTCATTTGGAGCCGTGTCTGAGTTCACTAGATCCTCTCAGATGTGCAGCAGCTCTGTGAGTTCATCAACTCCTCCAGAAACTTAACCTGGATGATGGAAGCTTTCAGCCGTGCTTCAGACTGAGCCAAGCACAGTTTGATCAACTGTTGTCAGGTGTCGGCAGGAGGATCTCTTGCACGCCCCTACAAGAGAAAGCTCCTGATTGGTTAATGCGGCACAAATGTCCGCTGAAGTTCAGTTTTTTCAAAATCGAGGGATTTGTGAGAAATGCACGTCAAACGTGTCAATCGCGAAATCAATGTTATTAAGGCGCAGGATGCCTATTCGCATCTTTTCATTGACTTAACATATAAATCACACGCACTTGACGCTTTTTCGCCTCCGGTGTGAATGCAGCATTAAGCATCTAATTCCAGAATATAAATACATTTTAGATTCCGATATCAAATCATTACACTAGTTTCACAAATGACTTTATTGTCCAGCGGACACAACGTCATAAGACATTAATATTAGGTTAGATTTAGGACACCAGCAACTAAAGGACAATGTTATTTAGATGGTCAATAATGACATAAAGTGATATTTTGTTGAGTTTAGATTGTGTTGGAAAGTGACCAACATCCAACGTCAAGTCAACATCTTAAACCAACGTCATATTGACGTCATGTACTGACATTTGACTTTAGGTAAGGCAACCAAAATGACATAACGTCAACATCATTGTTGTTTTTAGGTTGCGTTGGAAAGTAACCAAAATGTAATGTCTGTCTGACATTGGACATTGATGTCGGCCGGACGTCGAGTTCTAACGTTCATTTCCAAACTAAATGCAATGTCCCATGACTTGGGGTACAACATCAATCTGATGCCATGATGATGCGCAGTGCTTGCTGGAACATCCTGAGAGCCAAAGAACAAACCTATAGTCTTCTTCTCAATCTTAATCAACTGTATAAATAAAACAACACACTCAGTATTTCCACCTTACCTGTAGACTGGAGATTGCAGAGGGTGGGGTCATCAAATTTTGCTCCAATAGCGGGTTGAGAGGGGTGGTGCCTGGCAGATGAGTGGCACGCCAGTAAACCTCCAGATATTCAGCCAGATGCTCACAGGCGTCCTCCAACTGGTTCTCATCCAAAATGACATCAAACATCTCCTGATGGGGAGACAGGGTGGAGGAGAAGATGACATGCGGGGGATGGAATTAGAAGATATTATATAAAATATCTTGTGATGATGGTCAGGTGATGGGAGATGATGTTGAGCGACAGGTAGGATAATGGCTCTATGGAACAACATGCAACATGACTTTTGTCAGAATGTGATTTGGAAAAGCAAGCGTCTACATCACTAGAATTGTAGCAAGGCCAGTGCAAACAGAATCCGTTTAGAACTAAGCAAACATTTGAACAGCACTCATTTAAGAGAGAATGGAGAACGAGCATTTAAAATTACAACAGTTGACGTACAATATGAGACATAGAATAAAAAGACATGTATTCAGACAGACGTGCTCTAAATAAGATTCCCTTGCAAAATGTAGATTCTATTCCTGCAATCTTCACTTTACTAATGCAGAAATCAAATCACATTGTTTTTGTATGACTATCTGGGGTAGCGCTGCTGTGTTCACATTGGAGATCGATGCGCATCAGGAGGTTTAAAAATGTGCGTTGTGAACCATGCATAATGTTTTCAATGTTTGGTCTGTTTATATAGAGGAAGAATAGCTGAATGATAATACACACTCACCAGCCACTTTACTAGGTAAACTTTTTCGACTGTTCATTAACCCAAAGATCTAATCAGGCAATTACATAATTAAATCAGAGTATGAAAAGGTAGTCAAAAAGTTGATGATTTGCTGAAGCTCAAATTTTTAGGATGAAGTTGTGCTTGGGAAGAAGTGCTAGAGTCCTAACTTAGTCTTTAATCAGTATGACGTACTGGACCAGGTCCAATACATAGTGAACATTGTACCGCCCACTAAGGTAGTGCCCATACTACTGTGACTGTTTGGTTTAGGGTAGCGGTAGTTATAGGCGATCGTTCATTAAGTAGTGAATCTGGTCAAGTACGTCATCAAGCTACAGCGAGTCCTGTCTCCCCTTAGCAGCACCCCTGCTTTCAAGTATCAAGCAAGTCAAGTCACTGCTTATTTCAAGCAGAGGGAAGTGCCAAGTCTTTGAATTCTCAGCCAATTAAATAATTAAATCAGAGCATGTAGAGGTGGTCAAAAAGCTGATGATCTGCTGAGGCTCAAACTTTTAGGGGGAGTTTGTGCGTAGGCCATTAGAGGCCTTAGAGTCCTAACTTTCCCTCCCTTAACCAAGATGTCCTCACCGCAGTCTGTAATCACGATGACAAGCTGGACCAGGTCCAATACGTAGTGGACATAATAACACCCAAACTACTGTGACAGTTTGTTTAGGGTAGGGGGAGGTGTAGGCGATTGTCCATTACGTAGTGAACCTGGTCCAGTATGTCATAAAGCTGCAGGCTGTAGCGAGTACTGTTTCCCCTTAGCAGTGCCCCTGCCTTTAAGTATCAAGCTAGTCAAGTCACTGCTTATTTCAAGCAGAGGGAAGTCCCAAACCTCTGCATTTAAGTCTCTAGTCAAGTCCAGAGTCGAGACAGACAAGTCCAAGTCAAATCCCAAGTCTTCTTTATTCAAATTTGGGACTCAAGTCCGAGTCAAGTTGCAGGTCATTGACTCGACACATTCCTCTGCATGACAGTGAGTTCACTATGTCCTCCACAATCAACAGATGTCAATCAAACATAGAAATGGAAAATTCACATCATGGAACTGTGTGATACAATAATGTCATTATTGATCAAAATCTCTGAAAAACTCAACCTTCTATAATATAATGCTCAAAAGGGAAGTCAAACCCAGTACGAGAAAGGTGTACCTAATAAAGTAGTTTGGATTGGTGTATATTATATTAGTATTTGAGATTTCAAGTAGCAAGGCATATCTTACAATGTAATACTTTGGCAGCCCTAAAAACTTCAACCTAGCTGAAATAGCCATTTTATAGAAAAACTCTGAAATAGCAAGACTCTAATTATCTTTCTGAAATTCTGACAACACTGCTATGCTAATACTAATGTTCAATCTAGTGTGATTTGAATAACTAAAAAGTGTAAAAGTACTTACAGGGGGACACTGAGTCAATTTATCTGCTGCCATCATCTGAACATTGAGGTGTTTGCTCTGTGATTTACCCCTGGATTTTATCAACCGCTGTAGGACCTGTCAAAGCAGAGGAAGAATGAGTATCAAAGAATGTAGGTTAGCTTTAGAAATTAAGTATTTTGAGATATTCTTGAAAAGACTAGCAGCATATTTCTTGCCTCACCTTTGGAGACGTGACCTTTACATATACAATAATAGGTGCTAGTGAGGTTTTAGCTAGCTGTGCTGGATGGTTAATGGTGTCTGCATCCAGAATCACCAGCTGAAGGGTTTTGGCCAACTCAAATATTCTCTCAATCTCACTCTGTACCTCCGCTGAGGGCACAAACAGACACAAAATATGAAGCCCGAGAACATACTGAAAGGAAGGGTTTATTACATATTCGTTTGATTTTTGTTCTGGTTTTTATGTTTTGCACCGTTTCTGGCAGATGCCTCTAAAGTATTCTCACAGTTATGAAAAAATATCTTGGTAACCAGCTTGATAATCATTTACGTTAGCAATAAAATATGTAAAACACAATTGTCTAAGTGTGCAAGATCAGCAAATGGGGATTTTTTTGTGAGCTTTGGAGGGTTTTCTGTATAGCAGTGTAGCTTTATTGTGTGATGTCCTCACCCAAACTGGTCCGTGTGTTTGACCTCTCCATGATGGGTCTCTTGTTGAGAACTGATCTCTTGGCCAGTGAAAGGTCAGCAGTTACTCGGGTTATTGAAATCCTGTCAGCATAACTAAATATTAGTACACTTAAGTGGAGTGAGTTCACCAAAATAAAGATTTGGTCATTTTTTAGCCTTTGTGGAAGGATTTTTTCAAATATTTTGTCTTATTCAAACTCATCCATAAAATAACATTGAATACAGACCATCATTAAGCATTTAAAAAATTATTCAGTATCATAGAATTATCCGATAGGATGCATATTGTATTATCCAAGGGCGACACAGTGGCTCAGTGGGTAGCACTGTCACCTCACAGCAAGAAGGTCGCTGGTTTGAGCCCTGGTTGGGTCAGTCAAGCCAAATAATAAAAAAAAGTATTGAATGTACTATCCAAGTTTTCTGAACATGTATGCATGTCATACAATTAATGTATTGTTTATTGAAAAGTTTCAACCTTCACTGAATGCCTTTGTGCACGAAGGCTGCTGTTCCAATGGAATTTGAATAAGAATTATAATACATAAAACCAAATGCTTTGTTATACCAGGTTTGGTGTGATTATGAAAGTTAAATGTTTAGCCAACCACTGCCCCCACTGTCATTCAGATTTTTTTTCTTTTTTTAATCTTTAAGTTTTGCTAAAAACTACTGTAAAATATAAAACTGAATATGCGTAATCACAGATCAGCAGCAGAAGTTTATCTATTTTATCTAATGGCAGGTCGATTCAGACAGCATCCGGTAAGCTGAGGAATCACCACCCAAATACAGCTTTTTAATGAGTTTGAGCAGTTCAGTGTGGTGCTCGCGTAATGGTTTTGGCCATCAACATAGTTCCAATCAACAGTGTCATATTTGTATTTGCTAAAATCCAAATAAGATAGCTTAATACCAGCACATTTTCTTGTCAGCAAAAACACACATTATATTATTGCGCACATATGTGTGCAGCTAGTGAGAGAAACTCTTGCCCAATTAAAATAAACTACACACTGTGACTGTGGCCAATGTTAAACCACTTATCCTCAGCAGAAAGAAGAGCTAGACAAAAATGAGGAGACTGTGAGTTTGAGGTGTCAATAAAAGCAATTAATACCTGATTGTCACTAAATCAAAAGTTAAATTTTTAAATAGGGTTTAAAATGTACACATTTAATCAATTTAAAAAGTGATTCCGATATTACCAGTGCTGTCAAACATCAGCTAACCTGTTTTTTTTTTTTTTTCAGAGTCAGAGTGAACTATGGCACAATCAGTCTCACGAATGTGCACAGAGACCAACCAAAAAACAAACAAGCTATAGTTTACCCTCAGAAAACTAATATTCCTCCAAGCAATTTTGTGTTTAATATCGATGACTTGGCAAAACAAAGGCTGAATTTGGGCTGAGAGTAAAAATATAATAGATGTCAAAAAATAGTCATCCTGTGTAGTAGATGAACGGTCTATTTTTGGACTAGTGTTGGACGTCTATTATACAGACATCTCAACTTTAGCCTTGTTTTTAGCCAAAATGCCCATGTTTAGATGTCTTTTACATTTAATTGAAACAAAAAATGCTTGCTGGCATACAAAGTTTAATAGGATTGTTCTGAGAAACCTTTGTATGTTCTTTAAAAGCTCAGTTGTCATTAACTGGCATTACATGAAAAAGGCAGGACGAATCCTCTTTTTGCTAAAAAGAATAATGACTCCTGCTTCATTTTTGGGTGAAGCATGTCTATTAATGGTCAATGAAAACCCACCTCCACCATATATTAAACTATTTAATATGGGTCTGTGTCTTGCACAAAACGATGGAATAGCTTAGAGAAAGCATTGATTATAATCATGGAGTTTTATGTACAAGTTTTGATATTTTAAAACCTTGTTTGAGGTTGACAGACCTCTCCATAATCACTTTTCACAGTATACGTGCGAGTAAAGAACAAAGCAACATTCATCATATCTTACAAGAAATGTGTCTTTTAAAACTCACCGTCCATCAAAGCGATGTTTGAGAAAGTCAAACAGAGCTTTCTGCATCATGTCTGTCACCTGTCAACAGACATGACACGTGAGAAAACATATTTTAAAGAGTGTTTCAGAGGCTTGTACTGTATATACTGTATGATGTCTAACGCTTACCTCATATCCCTTTAGTGACGGTCCTACCAGAACCACAGGCCTCATGGATGGCACCACATCATATGGAGGAATGTGTTCAGTCTTTTCGAAAAAGACAAGAGAATTACAGTTTCATGTAGAACTGACTGGATTTGAAGCACAGGCAGGTTGGTACAGTACATACTGCTGTTTATGTACTGTACATACTGCTTGTTATAAATGGAATTTTCTGAGACAATGTCAGATACTTTCCAACAGTTTACAGAATACAAGGCTGCCACAGAGATGACTCAAAATATCCTTTCAAAATGTAACTTCTTTTCTTGCAACTTTAGGTTTGGATCTCTAAATTTTCTAGAGAAGGAAATACCTCATGGTGCATTTACAAAATTCTGATACAATTTTTACAAAATGTATGACAATAATGTGTTGTTTTCAAAAATATCAAACATTTTATTTTGAAAAGCACCCAAATTTGCATAAACTTTTCAGTTTATTGACAATGCTCACTCAAAACTGAAAAAAATATGGAAATGTTATCAATTATTTTGGTATTATAGATATTTGTGTATAATATTCTATGAGAGGTATCAAACACTTTTTTTCACAATTTTAGCATTCACTACCATTTGAAAGTTTTGTGTGTTCAGAAAGCTTTTATTCAGCAATGATGCATTAAGTAATTAAATGTTATTATTTGATATGATCATAATTAAAAATTTCCTTGCATAAATACATTCATAAAAATAATTTATTAGCACCAAATCAACAAATTAGAAAGATTTCATAAAGTCTTATCAACTCATCAACCCAAATATATAGTTGAAGTCAGGATTATTAGCCCCCTTTTGGATTTGTTTTTCTTTTTGAAGTATTTCCCAAATGATGTTTAACAGAGCAAAGTAAGTTTCACAGTATGTTAGATAATATTTTTTTCTTCTGGAGAAAGCCTTATTTGTTTTATTTCAGCTAGAATAAATGCAGTTTTAAATTTTTTAAAAAACATTTTAAGGTAAAATTATAAGCCCCAATATTTTCGTCTACAGAACAAACCATCAATATACAATAACTTGCCTAATTACCCTAACCTGCCTAGTTAACCTAATTTACCTAGTTAAACCTTTACATGTCACTTTAAGCTGTATAGAAGTGTCTTGAAAAAGATTTAGTCTAATTTTATTTACTGTCATCATGGCAAAGATAAAATAAATCAGTTTTAAATATAAATAAAGTTTTTAATTAGTTTTTAAAGCTATTAAAACTGTTATGTTCAGAAATGTGTTGAAAAAAATAATTCAGGGGCTAATAATTCTGACTTCAACTGTATATATTCACCAACGACTTTATTAGGTACACCTGTCCAACTGCTTGTTAACACAAATTCTAATCAGCCAATCACATAGCAGCAACTCAATGCATTTAGGCATGTAGACAAGATCAAGACGATCTGCTGCAGTTCAATCCGAGCATCAGAATGAGGAAGTAGGGTGATTTAAGTGACTTTAAACATGGCATGGTTAAGGATGCCTGACGGGCTGATCCGAGTATTTCAGAAACTGCTGATCTACTGGGATTTTCACGCACAACCATCTCTAGGGCTTACAAAGAATAGTCTGAAAAAGAGAAAATATCCAGTGAGCGGCAGTTCTGTAGGTACAAATGCCTTGTTGGTGCCAGAGGTCAGAGGAGAATGGCCAGATTGGTTCCAGCTGATAGAAAGGCAACAGTAACTCAAATAACCACTCGATGCAACCGGATCCATCACGCCTTGTATCAAGGGTACAGGCCGCTGGTGGTGGTGTAATGGTGAGGGGGATATTTTCTTGGCACAGTTGGGCTCATTAGTACCAACTGAGCATTGTGTCAATGCCACAGCCTACCTGAGTATTGTTGCTGACTATGTCCATTACTTTTTGACCACAGTGTACCCATCTTCTAATGGCTACTTTCAGCCAGATAACACGCCATGTCATAAAGCGTGAATCTCAGACTGGTTTATTGAACAGGACAATGAGTTTACTGTACTCAAATGGCCTCCACAGTCACCAGAACTCAATCCAATAGACACCTTTGGGATGTGGTGGAACAGGAGATTAGCGAAACGGATGTGCAGCTGACAAATCTGTAGCAACTGTGTGATGCTATCATGTTAATATGGACCAAAATCTCTGAGGAATATTTCCAGTACCTTGATGAATCTATGCCATGAAGGATTAAGGCAGTTCTGAAAGAAAAACGGGGTCCAACCCGGTACTAGTAAGATGTACCTAATAAAGTGGCGGGTAAGTTAATATTTAGGACAGATATGCCAAAAGAGTTTCTTTTCATAATCATTTGCTCTAGAAAATTAAATCCTCTCTGACAAACTGCAAAGAGAGATTATTTTAATACATCGAACACAAGAGCCATATCATCACACCTACCTGCTTTAGCTTCTGTTTGGCTTTAGAAAATAAGAGAACACATCAGAATCAGCATTCAGAAAATTGCAGAAGGATTCCTCATATTTTGACTGTAGTCTGAACTTTTACAAGCATTAGCCTAATGTATTTGCCTGTGACAGAGCATGCATTATACTAAAAAAAGAGGAGGAACGAATGAGAAAGAAAAGCAAGGGAAGAACAAACTCACTGATCTTCAGTTCAGCCCTACTGATATTGTGCTCATTTGAGGCAGCATTTCCAGCCACACACATCCCCTGCAGAGGCCCTGTCATACTCACTCTCACCTGCAGATGGCGGTGTGGATCTCCAACCCCCTGAAACCATGTCACCCAGGCTTGAGGATGAGTTACCGCTTTTCCTGAAGAGAAGAAAAACATCAGTCACTGCGTGAATGACACTGCATGGTAAGTGCTCTGAATGTTATCAGAGTCATCATTGAATTTCATATTATTAACAACAAGAGGCTGAGTAATTGATGACCGAATTAAAAATGTTTTAAAGTGAACCATCTCTTTTACTCTTGTTAATAAAGATTATACTTTAATGAGTTTACACTTTCAGATCATACCTGCCAACTCTCCCGTTTTTTAAGTAGTCTCCCGTATTTCAGACCAATCTCCAGCAACCCTTCCATTTTGTTTACATTTACATTTAGTCATTTAGCAGACGCTTTTATCCAAAGCGACTTACAAATGAGGACAAGGAAGCAATTTACACAACTAAGAGCAACAATGAATAAGTGCTATAGGCAAGTTTCAGGTCTGTAAAGTCTAAGAAGGGAAGTATTAGTAGTATTAGTATTTTTTTTTTGGGTACAGTTAGTGTGATATTCAGAGAGGCAATTGCAGATTAGGAAGTGAAGTGGAGACTAAATAGTTGAGTTTTTAGTCGTTTCTTGAAAGTAGCGAGTGACTCTGCTGTTCTGATGCAGTTAGGAAGTTCATTCCACCAACTGGGCAGATTGAGCGTGAGCGTTCGCAAAAGTGATTTCTTCCCTCTTTGGGATGGAACCACGAGGCGACGTTCATTCACAGAACGCAAGTTTCTGGAGGGCACATAGATCTGCAGAAGTGAAAGCAGATAAGAAGGAGCAAGGCCAGAAGTCACTTTGTAGGCAAACATCAGAGCTTTGAATTTGATGCGAGCAGCAACTGGCAGCCAGTGCAAACGGACTAGCAGCGGAGTGACATGTGCTCGTTTAGGTTCATTGAAGACCACTCGTGCTGCTGCATTCTGGAGCAGTTGAAGAGGCTTGATAGAGTTAGCTGGAAGCCCAGCTAGTAGAGAGTTGCAGTAATCCAGTTTGGAGAGAACAAGAGCTTGAACAAGGAGTTGAGCTGCATGTTCAGATAAGAAGGGTCGGATCTTTCTGATGTTATAGAGTGCGAATCTGCATGATCGAGCAGTTCTAGAAATGTGGTCAGAGAAGTTTAGTTGGTCATCAATCGTTACTCCAAGGCTTTTCACCATTTTGGATGCAGTAATGGTTGCCCTATCCATCTGGATTGAAAAGTTATGGTGTAGAGTCGGGTTGGCAGAAACTACAAGCATTTCCGTTTTTGCGAGGTTCAGCTGAAGATGATGATCTTTCATCCAGTGTGAAATATCCAACAGGCAGGCTGAGATGCGAGCTGGAACCGAGGGATCATCAGGATGAAAAGAGAGGTATAGCTGGGTATCATCAGCATAGCATAGCAGCATAGTTATTTCTCCTTCAAAACCCCCGGGGTTGCCAACTTTGGTAGAGTATTTGATCACACTAGCCACCCAAATCCCGGTACATACAGTTACTAACACACAGTACAGTTACTTTCCCATCCCAGTTCTCACCAGTTATTTAGAGACCTTACCCCCGAACACCACTCCCCCCACGGTTTCCCAGATTTTCTGAGACAAATGTTGGCAGATATGTTTCAGATATTTGACAAAAAGAGAAAAACGCATATTTTGTGGGCTGTTTGTGCCTGCTCCGATTTAAATTGAAATTGGGGTGGTGGATGGATGATAAAATTGTGAAATAATTGAGGTAGGACATGTTTAGTTAAGTATATGGGTTTGGTCTTATTCTGAGAGGAGAATAAATTGGAGAAGCTATGACGTCTATTTGTATGCAAATACCCAGAAGAGAGTTAGCATTTTAGCAGTTCCCTTGTCTCAAAGTCAATGGGTTTTTTGAATAGGATTTTGGTTAAATCGCTCAAATAAGGTCTGTGGCTAACACAAAGATACTTTCACGTTTTATTCTACAACATAAAACACATCTGTTACAACATTTAAAAAATGGGACTACAGGCAATGTCGGAGACATCATACGTCATCGAGCTGATGAGGTCTGGATCGTAGCCCACTTGTGTTGCACATTTGGATTTGTCTGTTATTTCAGTATTTTCATAAATGGTATTTTATAGTAGGGTTGTGCGGTTTACCGATACTATGGTAGTATCACGATACTATGGCTCCAAAACACTGGCAGTGCCTCTGTAGTTTGCAAATGGTACTATCGTCATTAATGGTCTATCTACAATATTTAGGGCCCTATCATACACCCGGCGCAATGTGGCGCATGTTGCGACGCAATAGTTTTTTGCTAGTTTCAGCTTGGCGCAAGAGAGGTTTTGAGGCGTTGCGCCATGCTGTTTAAATAGCAAATGCATTTGCGCTCATATGTGCGCCCATAGGCGTTCTAGTCTAAAAAGGAAGGCATTCTGAGGTGCATTGCTGGCGCGTTGCTATTTTAAGAAACTAAAATAGATTTTTCAATTGACCAAAACAAACCCGGTTTAAAGTTGCGCCTCGCTTACACACTGCTTAATACAAACAAGATGTAGAGCAATACGCAAATATCTTTACATATGAAAAAAAAAAAAATATTAAGTATATAGGATATAATAAGAATATATATAGGATATAAATATAAAGGATTAAAAATATTACAAAACATATTATTTTCTAGCCTACATAAATATGAAAAACCACTGCTTTTATGCCTTCTTCATCTTGGGGGACATTTCAGTTCATTTATAACGATTTGCTTTTGTTTAATGTTATTATTATTAGCAGTATTATTTATTATTTCCATATTTATATTTGTTTTATTAAAAACAAGCTTAGATTTGCCCACCTACAGGTTTTAGACTATACGGGGCACATCATGAGTTTTAGAATATAACTCGGGTTTTTGAACACACTTCGTTATTATTGTTCATTTATTTGTTTGCTGGAAATTAGAACTGAATTTAGAAATAGTTTTTAAACAAATATTTGCACTTAACAAATTAAATTATTTATTTATAGGCTAATTGATGTCTGTGCGTAAAGGTTTCCCTATCCACAAGAGCGAAAGTGAAAGTAGATCATTTATCTGTCATTCTCGCGCTGTAGATGCTCTGTTTAACTGTTTTCTTGCAAGTGAAATGATCAGTTTTTCCCCTCGCACTTACTTTACGTCATGTAAATAGCAAATGCGCTTTATGGCGTGACGCAACTGACTCTTAAAGGTAATGGGAGATGAGACTTTGATTGGTTTGTTCTCAAAACAAACCTATAACTCATTAAGAAAATAAACTCAACCCTTTTAGACCATGCACATGGACCTTCAAAATAGAGCCCATAATGTTAGGTGTTGAAAAGTCACTAAAACGCTCACACGTTTGACCATTTTATTTTAAAAGAAGATACAATTAAAATTAAGAGACAGTCTCTCAAAAAGAACGACTCATAAAGTAAAATTCTGAATTACTTTAAATTGTTGCCTGATAAGACTAAAAAAAACAACAACTTAGTAGATGAACAACTCAAAATAGCAACAGGAAACATTGAAAACAAATTTGACCACTTCATATAGCCTAATTAGTTTTTTTTTTGCTATTGCTATTTTTGTAACTAATTTAATTTGGTATAATTTGTTTAATCTTTATTTTAATGTATTTTTTGTTGGTTAGTTATCTACAAAATACACAAAAAGAATGAATAAATTTTAGATGAAGCGATGTGCAAATAATACTTTTTTCAATAAAAAGGTATTATAAATTAAATTCAAGATCAATTATAACATGTTAAATATAGTATTTCTGACAATTTTCTTCAAAATTTGAGTAACTGATACTGAATTAATTACAGTATTGCGATACTTAAACTGGTATAGTATCGTAAGATGAATTAATGGTATCGTAACAACCCTATTTTATAGTTTCAAGTATTTTTCTAATTGGGAATTCATATTATGTGTGGATAATGCCTTCACTTGTACCATCAAGATAGATTCATTTGCTGATCATTTTAATTAAACAATATTATGAAGATACTGCTTACCAGTGCAGCCTGTCTCTTTTCTCATATGTGATATAGTTGGCTTGTTTTTGTGACAAAAAAAAAGAATATTTAATGTTGTTCTGTGTCCATGATGGAACTTGCAGTCATATAGACTTGTCCTTTACTACTCTTTTTTATCATCTATTACTGAGGTAAGCGAGCTTTGTGTATGGAAGCGATACATTTGTTTAAATATTTCTTATGATAATACTATGTAGGCACATTTATACATAGAGTTTCAAAACTTTTACAACAACTATAAAGCAAAACAAAAATGTATTTCCCACAAAAAAAGCTATCCAAAAGGCATGTCAGTCTATACAGATGTGTTTTTGTGTATTTATTTGTTTATAATATATAATGTGAATTATAATATAATAAATCGAGAGAGTAAATCTTGGTCATGGACCATATTTCTAAAAATAAGCTTGAAAAGTTGTCTGTAGCAGAGTGGTGCTAACGTCACAGGCAAACGCCCCAAAGGCTATGTATCCGTTTATAGCCTAATGTTAGATTTTCAGTTTATGCGTTTGCATATACAGATGCTTTCACACCTGTGAATCGATTCAGTTGTTCCGAAACAGTGATTAAAATTGTTACAATGTTGCTCTTTGTTCTTGGTGCGGTTCGCTTTTACACGGCAAAGTTTCTAAACGGACCAAAAGAGCTAAAAAAAAGTCACGTGCGAGTAAACTCTCCTTGCATTTGTCAGTTTCACTGTTCATTTTTCAGAGTCCCGCTCAGCTGGCAGGAGGGTGGTAGTGGTTTGGTGGTGTTTGACAGGGTGCGCGCGGCGTGTCTGAAGAGTGAGGACGGATGCAATGGGGCGGGTTGAGAAGGGTGCGCGACGTATTTGAGGACCGGGAGGGAGACGAGCGATTTCCGGGAGATTATCACTTGTTTGCGGGCACCCTGGAGTCTCTGTGCATTTGCGGGAGACTGACGAAACTTTCGGGGAGACTTGGGATGTTTGGAATGACCTCCCGCCCTCCTCATAATTCTCTCTACATATAGCCGTATGCCTATTACATATATTCATAATACACT